GCTCACTGCGGCTGTTGGCCGCTCATGCTGGCTGCTGGCTACACACGGTAGCCCATGGCAACCCACTGCCACAGGGACTGCAGCCCACGTCGTCACCGGCGACCCACGGCAGCCCAGCTCCATGTCGAGCCGCCATTCAGCATCTCAGCTGCAGAGGGCAGCGTCACCGGCCCTTATATGTGGGATCCGAACCGGGGCCCTCTGGTGTCCCAAGCCAGTTCCTAATCAACGCGCCACTCCACTGGCCCCAAAAGGAGTATCTTTAAAAAGAATTTTTAAATATTTAAAACTTTTCATAGTTAATATATATACATGATGTCAAATTCATTTCCCCCTCCTCAGCTTCCCAGCTATCCTTTATGAAGTTATCAATTTCATACATATTCTTCTTCAGGTGTTCTATGCATTTACAGATATATGTATGTTCATATATATGTGTGTGTCTGTCTGTAGATATAGAACTATAGATACACATATACATATGTATAGTGTATGTGTTTGTGCTCACAAATGCATAATGTGTACATAGTTCTGATTTTTTAGGTTTATAGTCAAAATTATATCTTAATTACTCTTTATTTTTTTATTTTAAAGATTTTATTGGGGAATTGGGGTAGGGGAACAGCGTTAAGGAATCGGGGATGGGAAACAGACAAGTTGCTGTCCTTTTGTTCTTCTGTGTAGTTGTGGAGGATGTCACTTCACTGGCCCATGTTGATATTATCATTGCGCTCTTCCTGGGTGAGGCAGTCGCTAACTGTCCATTGGACGGCAGCTCACGCTGGCTGCCGGCCACTCACGCTGGCTGCCAGGCACTCACGGTAGCTCATGGCAGCCCACTGCAGCAGGGGCTGCAGCCTACGCTGTCACCGGCGACTCATGGCAGCCCAGCTCCAGGTTTCAGTTGTTGTTCATCATCTTAGCTGTAGAGGGTGCAGCGTCATTGGCCCTCATGTGGGATCTGAACCTGGGCCCTGCTGCTCAGAGCTGCTGTCCTAAGCCAGCTTTTAACCAACGCGCCATTCGCCTGCCCCCCCCAATAAAATCTTTAAAAAACAAAACAAAACAAAACTTCTAAAACTCAATGATAAAAAGACAGACAACTCAATTGACACATGGGTAGAAACTTGAGCAATTTCATAAAGGAAAATATATGAATTTTACCAAATTTCATTTGCCAAAAAGCAAATGAAAAAGTACTCAACATCAATAGTAGGGAAATGCAAATTAAAAGCACAATGACATACCACTACATACCCTCTAGAATGGCTGAATCTAAAAAGATTGAGAACAAATGTTGTCAAGGATATGGACCAATAACTAGAACTCCTATTTTGCTGCTGGTGCCTTTTTGCTATTCTTCAAAGACTGCAAACATTCTCCATCCTCAAGGTTTTCTGCAACTGCTTGGAAAATTCTTTCTCCAGATATCTACACATTTTATGTCATTCAGGTCTCTGCTCAAATCACTTCTTTAGAGATCTGTCCTATTATCTTCAAGAATATCCCTCATCGTACA